AGATCAAAAATGAAATCATTGGATCATGCACCCGTTTGTGGTGGTGGTGGTGTGGTTGTCTGAGTAAGCGTGACCGCCTGTGGGAGTGTGAGCGTGTGGTGCTTGTGTTACGAAGCTTACATTGACAGTCCAAATTGGTTTCTATGAGGGACTACAACATTAAATAAAGCCACATTTTTCTGTAGTGCCACAAAAATACAATGCGAAAAAAGTTGAAAGTAATGCAGTCATCGTTGTCAGGTTTGGGCACATCCTAAAGCTAAATGCTAAATAACTAATTTTGTGATGGAAGCCTTAAAAAGTCAAAATCAAGCTTCGTTGCAGTCTGCGATGTTTTAAATGCCTAGGCAATCTTTTTTGCATAAATGTATATCTAATCTGCAAGGCTTTGCATTCACTTACGGGAATATTTAACACGGCGAATAAATATTGATTTAAGTTAAACAACATCTAGAACCCCTGATCCTTTGCTGATGGTGCAACGTTTAACTTATGGGCTGTAGAAGCAAAGCAAAGGGGAAAAAAAAAAAAACTGCCACATCTACTCAAAGAGGCTGTGTAAAAAATCATCGGAGTGTTTTTTTTTTTTTATTTAAGCCTACGAATGGCCTCCAAGTCTTAAAAAAGATAACAAGAACGTCTTAGATTCAACCAGTCCACCACCATTCAAAACCACGTTGTTCTTGGCAACAAGATAAATAATAAAATAAATTTTACAATGCAAAACCTTGTAGGGGTCTTTTAAGGTATATCCTTGCCGCATCTTTACAATGCCTATGTTCCCCCCTGCTGATGTCTTTTATACAGTGTGACTAAAAAGAAAATGTTTGGTTAGAACCTCTTTTTCATCCATTTATAGGACTCTTCACATAGGACAACAGTGAGACGGTGTTACAAAAATGCAGATTCAAAGGATCTGCTATGTGGAATTGAAGATGCCAAAATTTAAAACGCTCTTAACTGATGCGCCTCCTCTTGAAAACAAGCACATCAGAGTAGATATTGAGGTGAGTGAATATATAAAGACTCGTCATTAAAAACCTTCTAGAATGAAAGGGCGATTTAAGAATATATGAACTTTTATAACAAGTAACTACACTGCGTTTGTATTTCTTGCTTGTGATAATTTAAGTACCAGAGAAGGCACCATTCCCCAACATCAACCATGTGCTATTCTGAAACCAGCCGTTGCAGGAAAAGAACAGTCGTGCATTTGTTAGACACAAGGACGACATATTTCGTGCTAACAAATCACGACAGTTCTTTTCGCCAACAACTGTTCATCAGAATAGAACATGGTTGCATGTTGGAAGGCTGGTACCTACATCATATGGTACATATAAAATATATCAACAAAGACAAGAAATTACAAAATCAGCATGTGTAGTTACTTGGTAGTTAAAAGTCATATATCTCTTAAATAGCCCCTTTCATTCTAGAAGTTTTTACATGACGAGAATCATTTATATATTCACTCACCTGCAATATCTACTCTGATGTGCTTGTTATCAAAGAGAGCGCCATCAAAGTTAAGAGCAGTTTCTAAACTTTTGGCATCTTCAAATTCCACATAGCAGAATCCTTTGAATCTGCCACTTTCATTGTCAAACACCAGTCTCACTGTTCGTACCTATGTGAAGAAAGTATCCATAATAAATGAATGAAAAAGAGGTTCTAACAAACATATTTACTATTTAATTACAGTCAACAACTGTAAAAATAAAAAAAGACAATACAGCAAGAAGAGAGAACATAGGCCATGTAAAGATGCAGGCACGGATATACATTAAAAAAGAACCCTAACAAGAGTTTGCACTTGTACAAGAAATTTCATTTTATTCATTTATCTTGTGCAAAAGGAACCAACGTGGTTCTTGAAGGTGTAGACTGGTGAAATCTAAGACGTCTTGTTATGCTTTTTAAGACTTGGAGCCATTCGTAGCTAAAAAAAAAAAAAAAAAACACTCCCATGATTTTACACAGCCTCTGAGATAGATGTGAGCCAGATTTTTTTTTTTTTCCCCTTTGCTTTGCTTCTACATAGCCCATAAGTAAACAGTTGCACCCATCAGCAAAGATCAGGGTCTAATGTTGTTAATAAATCATTTTTGATAGAGCCGTGTAAATATCCACAAGTAAGTGAATTGCAAAAGCCTCTGCAGATATAGATACATTTATGCAAACAAAGATATGCCTCAGGCAAATTTAAAACATCGCAAGACCTGCAACAGAAAAAGCTCTGATTTTGACTTTTTAAGGCTTCACATACACAAAAAATTAGTTATTTAAGACATTTTAAGACTTTAAGGATGTGCCCAAACCCTGACTAAAGATGATGTCATACTTCAACTTTTTTCCGCATTGTATTTTTGCTTGCACTACAGAAAATGTGGCCTTTATTAATGCTTGTAGTCCCACTAACAATAAGAACAATGGAACCAGTCCAATGTAAGCTTGTAAACACAAGCACACACGCTCACACTCACACACAGGCGGTCACGCTTACTCAGACACACACACACACACACACACACACACAAACGGTGCAATGAAATCCAATGATTTCATTGATTCTTGGCGCTGTTTCTTCTGCGAATGAACTGGAGAGGAGATCGAGCACTATTTCTCTATCGACAATCTTCGGTAGAGGTTGAAGACCGCGACGCGCGTAGATAGAGGAAAATGGACACCGCCATCTTATAGAGCGGAAGAAATATATTTGGATAGGAGTAATGTTAAGATGCACAGGCCTTATATCTACCGTTAAATGGGAAAAAATGGCAGCGCTGTGCGCCGAGCAGAGACTAAGTCCAAATCGACCTTCTGCGGCAGAGTCGTTTGTTTATGTCTGCATTTTCTATAAACTCATTTTCTATACGTGTCTAGTTTTCTGTATTTCCATTTTCTATACCCGCGTTTTCTCTTAACGTCACGTTTTCTTTGCACTACTTTCAACCAACGTGGAAGCATTATCGATTACTAATATTTTGATCCATTACATAATACTATTTCTACTAACATTTCCTCTCTTCCTTTTATGCTTATACATTTCAAGTATTGTTCTTTGTAATGTATATATTTTATGATCCATAATTTTCTTATCATAACGTAGATTCACTGTTAACAATGTAACAACGTTACTGCCTCTTTACCTTAATTGCCTCCCATGTCGGATTTTATTTTTTTTCATTACTTGAACACTTTCCGGTGAGCTCGTGACATGTAAGGACCTAGCAATTTTTGTGTGCGGTGTGACATTTGGTAAGTTAAAGATATTTGTTTCAATGTTTGTTTTTTATTTATAGGTGTTTTAAAGACAATTGAAAAAATAGTGTATCTTTCATCATAGTGGATAAAGTGTTATTCAAACATATTTTTTACGGTAGGTACTGACAATTTGTGGAGGAATATGCCCTTAAATGCCCCAAATGCAACGACATATTCATGTAGATGCGACAAACCCCCCAAAAATGATAATAGAAAAGTTAGATGAAAGTTCACTTTGCCGGGTACTTTGCCAAGCACATATTACAAGTGTTGTATCCGGCGGAGAATAAAATATTTCATTAGTTCCTCCACGCCGCATCTCGTCTGTAGAGTGACGGTATGAGTTGTATATTGTTTAATAATCTTTAAAATAAATTGACATCGTGCGAATAAGTGGAGGGGTGGGAATTAATTTGATATTTTGTGTTCATTATTTTGGTTAGCATAACATTTAATGTTTGTGAAAAAATTGTGTATCGGATATCAGGTTTGTACACATTGCGAGTTGCGCTTGTTTACTCAAGTGTGTTTCATTCGGTGTCCGTCGGACAAAGATTAGCTCGTTTATTATACGGCCTTTCTATTGTTGCCGTGACATAAATTTAAGTTCGTCTTTCATATAATTACAATTTTTATAGATGTTTAAGTGGTATTCATTTTATTTAAACATTTACAGGTTGCTATTGACATCGTGCATTCCCCCCCCCCCCACGAGCTTCGTGAACTCAATTTCTCCCCCTCATCCCTCCCCTCCCCCCTAGGAAATTAAGCTTTGCGAGTTTTTTCCTGCAAGGTAAACAAGATGAGCAACTTAGACCCTGTGCTGTTATATGCAGGGGATATTTTCATCACTTAGCAATAAACATTAGACCACTGTAGCTTAAACTATGTTGTTTCTGATTATTTCTTATGCTCTATATTTCCCACTATCCACACATCGCTTTTGGTAACCCATACCTTATTTCATAACCAAGAATTATCATATTCAAGCAAAATGCCAGCAGCATTAGAAAAATGCGCAAACAGTGCTAGTGTGACACCCCTTAACAGCAACAAATAACTGAAGGTTGGGTCATACTATATATACAAAGCACAACCACTTGATACTTCATTTCATGAGATCTCACTAACTAAAAAATGCCTGCTTACCCTCTGGTCCTTGAAGATCTGGTCGATGTCACCTTGGACAACACCATTTGGGAGGTTCCCAACGTAAGCTGTGTAGGGAGGTTCAGTTGGCATTGGCCTGCGAGGCCGACCACCGCCATATCCCCGGCCACCATCATTGTATCGGTTTCCACCTCCTCCTCCACCGCCACCGCCACCGCCGCCACCGCCACCACCACCTCGATAGCTATTC